ATTTTTTGCTACATGCCTCCCCATCTTCTTGCCATATGTTTCTATGGCATAAATCAGTATCTGTGACCTGTTCTCATTTAAAAAAAAGAACATTGGCACAAACCTAGCCTGTATGTATTTTTTGTATGTCATCGAGAGTATTTAAATGATTTTCAATCAGAAAAAAAATTTGCGATTAAAATGCGATTAATCGCGAGTTAACTCAGGCATTGATGCGATTAATCGCGATTAAAAAAATGTAATCGATTGACAGCACTAATATATATATATATCATTGCTAATAAAACCACCAGTAATAACTCTGCTGCAGACAAGTTAATCCCAATGCTGTTAGACAGTCTGCTGCACCTACACATGCCATCTTTCTTATCTTCAGATTAAAAAAGTCACAGAAGCAGGGGGGCTCCAACAGCCACTGCCTGCCTGAGGCATGAATCTTATTAGGTTTTAAACATTATTGCTCCAAAATGATTCATTCATTTCAAAGGGAACTTGTCTGCAGAAATATGTGGCTTTTCTCAGACTTGGAAAGCTTTATTTAAAGGAGTCATAGAATGATTACATAGGGTATTCGGTGCTGGTCCTTAAGGTCTCTGAATAGGGTGTTTAACATTGTTTGGGCTGAAAATGGCATATTTGCTGTTCTGTGAGCCCTAATGCAAGTCTGGTTAAAAGCGTTTTCTTCAGGTATAAAATGAAGAAAACAGGTTTTCTTCATTTTATAGTATGCTTGTGAATATTTAGATGAGCTGTGCGCTGATTGGTTGGTTTATAACGAGCAAAGCTGCTGAGCAAAGCAACAAGCACTCATAGCAACAAGCACTCACTCACTGAAACATCAAATTGTTGATATGGTAGGGTGACCCGACGGCCTCTTTTTCCTGGACATGTCCTAGTTTTCATACCTAAGAAAAAATGATTAATTTTAAAAAGTCCGGGGGGAATTTCAAATTCGTCCGGGATTTTGGTTGACTACAGTGCAGCACTTCCTTTGGATTCGCCCGTTTTATGATAGAACTTCTCTGTATGTCCATTTCACCCACTGAACTATCGTTATTCATCTATGACAATAGAAACTCGTTTTAGCATTCTGTGACCCCTTTAAAGGTCCTCATGGATTTCTTTGTTGCTTAAGAAAATCCTAAAGAGGTCAAAAATGTCAAAAGAAATGTTTCAGCTAATCTTGATCTGCAACTGATCCGCTCTTATTAGCACAGCTTTTTTTATCACAGGTTGGCTGATTGTTTTAACAGATACTGAGAAAATGAAAATAGTCTTTTTTTTTTTTTTTTTTTTTTTTTTTTTTTACATGGCTAGAAAAAAAACCAAATCTTTCTTTTTAAACAAAACACCCAAAACAGTAAATTCTGTGAATTAGGAAGGAAAATGCATCCAGCAGTCACCATCTGGCAATAATTAGGTCAGCTCACTCGGTTGAAGGTGAATTAATTTATTTTTATGAATCAAAACATGAACGGAGTCTAGAGAAATAGAAATCCATCCATATCTAATCCAGTCTTAGCCAGTTTTTCATAACGTTTTCCCATTTGAAAAAGCATGTTTCTGTTTTGTTTCAAAAAGTTTAAAAAAATAAAATAAATTTGAAGCAAACAAAGTCTGCTGATAAAACATTATCTGAGCTTTGTGGGACGCATATGGGCTGCATGTGGAACCAATAGCAGATGTAACATAGATTATGTCAAGGTTTGACAAATCTGTTTGAGACGGATTGTACGAGTGACTTCTGCCACAGAAATGGTGATGAGAAATTAGTTTGGTCATTCTAAATCTCATGTTTTGGGGCATATTCACATTTTATTTAATGCATTCATGCAAAACACTGGAAACGGCCTGTTTGTCTGGTCTGTGGGGATGATGCAAGCTGCGCTTTAAAAACCAGTACATTACAGCTGGAGGTCTATTTGATTTGTAATTATTTTGTACAAACTGAAGCTTGTTGCTACATAATGTGCCTTCATCAGTGTTAAGTAAGGTGAAAACAAGAACAGTCATACCATATTGGGCATTTAATAACGATGATGGAAAATGATAAATGATGGAAATGCTACATGCTTGGTCGTAACAGGATGAAGCAAATATCAGGTTCTGGAGGGGAAAAAAACTGAAAAAGTAACAGGAGACTTCAAAATGTTAAAATATTTCCTTAATTTATTTCAAATTCCTTTATTTCCAATAATAACTTTAAACTTTGAGCTGTTGGTTATACATAAGCAGGCCTACAATTATCCTTTTTGAAAATGTCTAGCATGCTCCACTGCACCTGCAGGCAGTATGCAGGAGGGCAAAGGTCGGCGCTCTTTTAAGGCCTTCGCCGGCGTGTGTAGACCTGCAGATGTGAGTCGGATCTATTATAAGATTGAGATTCAAGGCATTTCAGAACATCGCCTCCTCCTCTGGCGTTCTTTAACACCCGGGGAGTGCCACCTCCTCCACCTGCTGCTGTCTGTCTGTCTGTCCCACACAGACTTACAAATCTGAGTTCGGGTTCAAACCAAGGAATCATTTAAAACATTTTAAGTTTACATCTTTATTTCTGCACTTTCCTTTTTTTTCTATGTTTTTGTTTTTATATTTAAATACGCTGTTGTGCCTGTATTGCATCAGTGGCTCAGTAGATGCAAGCTGATTGGTCCTTTAACCTGTTGGACCCGGGGTATCTCCAGCCCACCCAAACAGGAACCCATGCTGACATACCATGCCTGGATATACACACACATTTACACACACAGATCAGTTTTCCTCCTCGCATAAACATAGCAGAGCTAAGATGGTTAAAGAAGAGATCACATGAAGAAGTCAGGACCCTGAAGAATGAGATGGGTGTGGTGTGTGACGCGAACAGATTCTCAAACAGCGTTTTTTTTCAAACCATCTGCTGATATAGTGCCGAAATCAGAATGAGCCATTAGTAAAGGCAAATTTTTATACCCGAAAAAACATGGGTTCCACAAAACCCTGCAGTTTATCTGTTTCTACCCTTAGAAATGAAACATCCAGCTCCTGCTCTGAACTCCAGCCACTAATTATTTCAACAGAAAGTAGTTCAACAGAAAAGTGTGGAGGCAAAAATGGTGAGAGATAGCAGCACTTTTAGCAGAAGGCTGGGCCAGGGCTCTGAGGAGTTGAGGTCCGGGGCCCTTGGTTTTTGGGGGGACCCCAAATTTTGTGATTTTATTTTTTTTTTTTTTTGTATTAATTTTCAACAAATGTGTGTCTTGCATGCCTTATATTTTATCTAAACCTAAGCCTATAAACAATTAGGTCTTTCAGTATTTAGGTACGTTCCATCCATCTATTTTCTATCACACTTATCCCTACTGGGGTCACAAGGAGTCTCCAGCTGTCTACAGGTGAGAGGTGGGGTACACCCTGGACAGGTCGCCAGTTTATCACAGGGAAACACAATCAAACAGGACAAACAACCATTCACTCACACACTTATACCTAAGGAGAATTTAGAGAATCCAATTAACCTAACAGTCATGTTTTTGGACTGTGGGAGGAAGCCAGAGTACCCGGAGAGAACCCACGTATGCTCAGGGAGAACATGCAGAAAGACCCCAGGCGGGAATCAAATCCGAAACCGTCTTGCTGCAAGGCAGCAGTGCTACCCACTGCTGCACAGTGCAGCCTATTTTAGTATATAAGGAATTACTATCTGGAAATTGTGAAGTCAGAATATTTAATTAGGGGGAAAAAAACATGCAGCTGTGAACCTTGCATGAGTTTTTACCCACTGCCATTCCAAAAAAGTTAAAAAACCAAACCTTATTTTTTAGGAATGATTGTAACTGAGAATCTTCACCAGCATTTTTACCCACTGATTTGCAGACATACCTGCTAATGCACGGTGAATAAGAAAGTTAAAGTTTTTGTTGATAAGGAACCAAAATTGTCCAGCCTCGGGGCCCATCACTTTTTAACTGTACCCTATGGCTGTAGGAACCTGTTGGTAACTAATTATCTGAAGCAAATATTGGCTAAACTCCTCAGTTTAGCTTCATTCTCATTTATTTTAGGATAAGAAAACAACCTTTACTCTTTCAAACACAATTTAAAAGTATTTAAAAGATTAAAGCTTCTAAAGTTTTTACCTTTTTTTTTGTTTTTTGTTTGTTTTCAGAGCTAACATGAAGAGCTTTTTCAGAGAGTTCACCTCAATAAATGTAAAATAGACTCCTGTGTGTCTTAAAGTCCTGAATATGATTTAATATCACTCTTTTAAGTGAAGCTAAATTTACTCCTCTAGAACATATTATTGTTTTTATTAGCAGTCGCTTTGTTTGTTTTACCTTATTTGTCCACATGTCCAGAGAGAAAATCAGCAGTGTTGTAGTGGGCAGGCCGCCTTCTTTCATTGGGTGTTGGCAACTGTTATTGTCTGCCAGTTTTATGTGAAGTGTGATCACTTGTTGGTAGCATTTATTGGAGGTGAACTGAGAAGTTATGCCAACAGTTTATCTTCATTTGGCCGACTCAGAGGAATGACCGAGGCTATGGAAAGAATGCAAAGACCGCCAGAAGCTTCAAGCTGCTGGCCTTGCTTCTACTGTATATCAGATCCTTTAACTTCGCAAGCTAAGCCTGACAAGAGTACCACGCTTTTTAGAGTGCAGCTGGGGACCAATTACTGTTCTACGGCACAGGTCACTTTATATTGCATCGCTACTGTGGCCGCATATTTTAGAAATACTTATTTACTCCAAAAACCTGACTGTTAGGTTGATTGGCTTCTCTAAATTCTCCTTAGGTGTGTGTGTGTGTGTGTGTGAATGGTTGGTTGTCCCGTTTGTCTCTCTGTTGCCCTGCGATGGAATGGAAACCTGTCCAGGGCATATCCCAACTCTCACCCGTAGACGGCTGGAGATGGGCACCAGCACCCCTTGTGACCCCGCTTGGGATAAACGTGACGGAAAAGGAATGAGTGGATGGATGGATGGACGGATATTTACTACTTGTCTGTTTCTTCCTCTTTTCAGACTCTGACGCTGACCAAGAGGACAGCCATGTTCGCAGCCAGACCAGAGCTCAAGCTGTGAGTAGACCCGATAGGGATTCTTCCAGAAACTCTGCAAACACGTCCTTACAGCTGTCAGTCTTTGCACAGCAGTGTTGTTTGAGGTGTTTTGCATCTAGGGGCAAATTGATATGATAAGATCTGTTTTTAAGAAGTTGTGGGGTAAATCTGGATTGGTGGAGAGCAGTTACCTTTTATTTATTAATTTCCATTAATTTCTGTGTGATTCACTTTTTTTAAAACGTATACTGAAACTGGTTCTCTTGTAACACAAGAGAACCAGTTTTTCGACGCTCTAGCAAAACATTGATTGACACTCCTGGTTAAGCCAAAACAAAAAGTCTAATGCTGTGCCCCAATGTGTGCCCTAACCCTTCAGTCACTATATAGAGCAAGGATTGTCTAGTGGACCTTATAGTGCAATGAGTTAACTGACTGTTCAGACAGATGACTACTACTTTTTCATTCCCCAGACATTAGGACACCCCAGTAAAATGGGAAAACCCTTTAATGGTGCTCCTAAAATTCTTCGTTTTATTGTAGAAACAAAGTCTCCCTAAAAAAATTCTAAAAAAATCTGATCTTAAAACCTAAAGGGGGCTTTAATTCTAAAGATTACGACAAAAATAGAAGTAGACTCATTTAGGTTTTTGTATATTTTAATCATTATGATCGGCTGAATGATCCAGTGACGACCAGCTTTTAGTTTTCTGATAGAGACTACAAGATTCCTGTATAGAATATCCTGATATCTCAGAGTTCACAGCTGAAAACAGGCCCCCATCATCACACATCTTCCCCCATGCTTAACAGCTTAACATTAGGTTCCCTTTGAACATATAGATCCTTTGTTTTTCAACAGACCCCTCTTGTCTTAACAATGTTGATGAGTGGCTTTGTCTACATTATATCATGTTGAACAGTAGGAGAGAAATTACTAGTTATAACTTCCAAGACAGATTAACAGAGTTGTTGTAAGAAATAGGGAACTTTGGTTTTCTTTCAAAATTATTTCCTAAAACATTCCCCCCCATTACTACATTTTGTCACAACAAAAGTTATATTTTTCTCATTGGAAATTGAGCTACTGCAAAACTTTTTTTTTTAAGCTTTGTTTTTTCCATCAACTTCCACCTACAGTGGAGTGCACTGTTAATCTAATTGGGTTTATTTGTTCCTTTTGCATAAAAGTGGTCTGAACTTTGTGTCACATGCAGGAATAGTTTTAACAGCATCACTATTTTAGGCACTGAGCTCTCTGTGAGAACCGGAAACACGTTACAGGAGTCACCGGTCACACCAGCAAGTGTTGGAACATGATGTTTTCACAAGATTTATCCTGCAAGAGTCCATGAAACAAACAGTGGAAGGAGATATTGGAAACTAGGTCATGATATACTTCCTCCAGAAAGAGGGCAGAGGTAAAGCTGCCACGACAACAAACCCAGTGGTGCCAAAACTGGACTTTAGTAATGTGTCTGAACCCTTTGACTCTACAATGTATTTATTTACTTTTTTTCCATCCCTATAAAGTTAATAAATCTCACATATTGCTTTCAAAACATAGCTTTGATTTCAATCAGCCTCTCAGTGGGCAAGTTAAAACTGCAAAGAAATTCAGCTGTAAAACATGCTGGTAATCATTTTTCAAGACAAAAAATGAAAACATAATAAACTTAATGTTTACATGTAGGGGCATTGCACAGTGAGCTAGTTTATCTGTTATGAGAACACATCAGAGAAAAAAAAGTGATGAACTGATGTCACTCTGAGCTATTGATGCCTAAGTAAATGATTGGGGGGGGTCCAGATTTTCCAATAATTAAATCTTCATAAACAAAATAAAATTGATTAAATTAAACTGACTAATTGGCCAGCCCTAATTAAATGTTCGAATTTGTAGGTTTAACAGTTTGCAGGAATTTTCTTCAACAAGGCCGTTGTAGCCATAGATGTTTGAATTGCTGAACACTGATGCCTGTTGGACGTTGAAAAATATATTGAAGAATGAGAAGAAAAAAAAGATCCCTTAGAAGATCTTAAAGCTGTAAAGCTGTAAAGAAACTTTCTGCTGTTTGAGCTGAGAATGTCATGAGCTGTTTCCAAACTTTAGTGATTCCTGTCATTTATTTCCAAGGAGCATCTCCATTGAAGGTGTCAAGAGCTAAAGTCTGAAAAATCAAAATATTGTTTTCTACATTCAGGTGAAAGACAAGAGGCGGTCCCCCCCCTCTACCAGATCCCCCTCGGCCCCACAGCGCAACCCTCCCCACAGCAGCACTGTGGACGAACAGGAGAGCCCTGAGAGAGTGGTAAGATGTAGAACAACGCAACACATGCATTTCTGGGCATGCTACAATACTAAGGGTTTTTACCTTGAGCTTGCAGAGGTGTTAAGTTAAAATATGCAATAAGAGTCTGAAATTACAGTACCATCATCTACATCTTGTTTACCTTAAGTATTTATGTTATGCCTCTTCTTGGGATTATAACTGTAAATGTTAAATGATGCCACCCTTGTCTTTTATTCTCTCTTACAGATAACTTGATCCTTTTTTTTTTTTTGGTACACAAATGCCATAAATGTATTATTCATGGTTTCCTAAAAAGGAAATGCATCAAAACATGTAAACTAGCATTTTTTTTCTTTTTTTTTTTTTTGTTATTTTCTACGAATGTGTGTCTTGCATGCCGTATATTTTATCTAAACCTCAGCCCATAAACGATTAGGTTTTTCAGCGATTATTTTATTAATTTAAACTATATAACTGGAGAATTATTTTTTTAGTTATTTTTCTTTATTTCACTTAAAACAAGATATGATGGAGGAATCACTGCTATTGGAGCCCTTAAGCTAATGGATTAATTTATCTGCTTATGACAACACATAAGGACCCTCCTGAATTCCTGGAGTCCTATAAACTGATTTTGGCCTCGGATTGTTTTTTTTTAGTTTAAATATGTTTTAGTGTCTAAACTTCTTACTGAGGGATTTAAATAGTCTGTTGCAAGTTCTGTTAAATATTTTAGTTGTACAAAAAATGTATGCAAAGAATTTGGGGAGTTTTGAAAAAGAAGTATTTATTTTCTTAAACTTTTGAAATGAAAAAATAAATGAAAATATTGCATTTCATTTTTAGACCTACACAAGATGGAATTTGCATCTGCCAAGAGATTGTTTGACCCAGTTTTCCCAAAATACAGCATAAGATGCCCAGGGTTTTACGCATGCATTTAACATCTGTAAACTTTTCTGTAGGAGATGAATATCAAGGGTTATGAAGAACTGTTTAAAAATAGCCTAACATTTAATGCTTCCTCTCTCTCTTTTTAATGTATTCTTCTTCTGAGAATTTTCTCTTTTTTTGTTCTAGGGTGCTCTTGTGGTCTTGAGTCGATGCTGTGTCGGTGTTCTGTCAGATCAGCATACCCATATCAATTCGCATGCACGCAAGACATCAGATTTGGGTTTATCCCTTTAGTTTTGTACAAAATATAGACTTTAAACTACCTTGACGGGCGTGTGTCCCTTTAGTCATGTACAAGAAACAATTTAAGGTCAGATCGCTATACACTTAAAAAAAAAAAAAAAAAAAACACCAAAAAGTAAGTATGGTAATTAAATAGTTTTTTTTCTACATGACTAAAGGGATACACGCCCATTGAGTTAGTTTAAAGTTTATTTTTCGCACATAACAAAAAAATGGGTATTGACTATGGGTATGCTGGTCTTACCGGGTATGCTCATCTGACAGAACACCGGCATGGATTTAGGGTTGCTAGAAAATGCTCCAACGCAGACCGTAACTAAGCTGAACCCCTTCAATATTTATAGTAGTTGTCCCCCCCCCCAGCCTGTTAACATTAACTGGATCAAACCAATCGGACTCCAGTTTTGGCTCAGCAGCTCATGTGAAATTACTTGAGAAACAATTCTATTCTGCACTTTGCACGTAATCTGTGGCAGATGGAGCAACAGAAGAAGGATGTAGGCTGATCTTAGGAGTCAGCTTGATGAGTCTGATTAACCTGGACTTGCTTTACTTCTTGCCTTCTCTTCCAGGGGGGCAGCTAAAGTCCCTTGAATATTTTTAATGTTTAGCAAAAGCTTACTGGACACTGTGGTTACAGAACATAAAGCTGCCTGGAGATTATTGTGAATCCCTTAATTTCAACATGGATCTCTGTACCCAGTTTTTTTTTTTTTTTTTTTTTTTTTTTTTTTTTATCCACACTGACAGCTTATCTTTTCTTTGCCCCACGCCAAGGATGGACCAGAAAAAGGCAATTAAACAAAGCATGCCCCTTGTCTGCTCAAAATGGGGAAAAAAGAACAACAGTTACTAAATTAATTCTATTAAATCATTTATTTAAATGAATAACTTATAAACAACACTTTCTTTCAGCATAAGGGTACCAGTAAAGTTTGGCTCTCTTATGTATTTTCTTACATTTATCTTTTACCATCAGGTCATCTACCCATAGTAACTTTACAGTCATTGTTCTCATGTTATTGTTGATCTAAGATAGATAATAAATGCTACTACTCAGTTTTGTGTCGCCTACAGGTGCAGAAGGAGAAACTACATGCAGAGCTGAAGCAGGTATTGAGTCAGAAGAGAAGTCATTTAAGAGAGTCGACTTGCAAATTGGCCCAACCAGAGATGGATACAGAGCCAGGAGAAGAACAGACCGTAAGCAAGGCTTTAACTGTTTGACATTTCTGTGATGTCATGGTCTTGGTTCTGTTGTTCTTTACTTTGCTCCTTGTTTTCTATTTTTATTGGTTTAATTCCAGTTTTGTTGTAATTTATAGATTTATGTTAGTTCTCAGGTTTTTCTGTTGTTGTCCTCTTTTGCCCTCTTGTGTGTGTATGTTCCTTTCCCCTTGGCTCCCTCGTTGTCTCCTCTCACACCTGCTCCTTGTCTGCTCGTTATCCCTCCCTTTGTCTCTCTCTGCTATATATGCTCTCCCTCTGCTCTCACTCTTTGTTGGTTCCTTGTCTTTGCTGCCCTCCCATGCTGTTGTCCACGTTCCTCGTCTCTCCCTGGCTCCTCGTGTTCGGTTTTCCCCAGATGTCTCCTTAGTTCTGGTTTGCTTTTCATTATTAGTTGGATTTTTGGATTCCTGCCTTTGTTTACTGTTTTGCCCCATTAAAACTCCCAGAAATCTGTTCAGCCTCTCTGCCTCTGCGTTTGGGTCCTCAAACCTCAACTAACCCTGACATGCATTTGGGGTTTCCCCTTATAAAATGCCCTTTTTTTTGTTAACTTTCAACAGACCTAAATCTTTTTATGGCCAACAACAGATTATATAAGATGCATTTGTAACTGTGGATACTGCATATTTGTGTTTTTTGTTTTCTTAAGTGTATTGAAGAAGTCTCCAAGTCTGTGGAAATTGTGGTGGAGACTGAGGCGGAGGCTGGGGCCAGTGGCTACAGTGTGACAGGTGGAGGAGAGGATGGGATCTTTGTTAAAGATGTCCTCAAAGACTCTCCAGCTGCCAAGCACTTGAGTTTGCAGCAAGGTACCCAACGTCTTTTTGCTACTTTTAGAAGCTTAATTCTGGACAACGAGTGCAAAATCAAATGTAACTGTAGAAATCATACATTGAACAGGTAATGCTCATCAATAGACCTGGATCTTTTGTTGTAGTCTTCATATTGTGATGTGTTGTCATGGAAATGCTAAGAAAATCTATCAGAAGGGAAAACAAGGTAGACGTAGAAACCAAGTATTGTTAATTATTCTTTTATTCATTAAAGAAGAATCACCAGAAGAGCTGTACATTTTTTAAGGAATAAATCCACAAAACATGCTTAGATTTAAAATGTTTTGTATGTTTTTCTCCAAATATTTGTTTGTTTTTCCTTTGCCATTTTTTGGCGTTACGACAGGATCTGAACAACAACTGGTTGATCAGGATTAAACAAAACTACACCACGGTAAACTTGATGTCTGGCAACCAAAACTATCAGGATATTTACTTAAACTATGACTGTCAGTCGCATCTGCAGGGTTAGGAGGGTCAGGATTTTTTGCCAAGCATTAAAGATTTGCTTTGATTATATAACAATTTTCCCATATGTTTTTTGGGGTGTGTGGTTTCATTAACTTCCATCTACATTAACAATTGGTTATAAAAATCTAATTTATATTTGTTTTTTCTGAAGATGAAAAATTAAAAATTAATTTGGATCATCTATATGTTTGGATGAGCTGTTGGACTCAGGAGACGTCTAAAAGCTTCGATTAGCTTCTCAAATAAAATTCTAAGCTAAAATAATGATTGCTGAGTGAGCAGTGAAGATGGTCATCTTCAGGAATTAACTCTTTCTTTATGCATTTGTTACTTCTACCTACTTGTTACTCACTATAGCATGAATATCATCAAACATGCATAACTTTGAATATATACAAATGGAGAATTTTACGGATGTGCACATTAATTAGTAATTTTTTTCTCTGTGAAGGTGATCAGCTACTGAGTGCAAAAGTCTACTTTGACAACGTAAGGTATGAGGACGCTCTTAAGATCCTTCAATGTGCAGAGCCCTATAAGGTCAGCTTTCAGGTGAAGAGGACTATTCCTACAACTGAAGATGGTGTCCGGCCCAGAGTCCCCAGTGGGGAGGTTAAATTGCCCAAAGCCAAAGTGGCTAAAATGGTAATGAGTTATATTATTTGCTTATAAAATACTACAAATATTTGGTCATCATTCTTTTAGTTGTAGAATGTACTCAATGAAAACTTCACTGTTTAGTGACATCATAATGAGTTTTCATTATCTAAGCAACGTTAAACATCTTGGCACAATCATATAACACAACCCAAAACTCACATTTTATAAAAGGAAAAGAAATTACTTTAATATTCACTTGGATTACAAAGAAAATGTAGGATTTTGATGTTTTATATAGAACAATCCCTTGAAGCAGTAACCTTGATAGCCCCAATAAAATAGTATTCCTGACTTAAGTAGGCTACTCATGCAGGGTGAGATGACGACTAATCACACTTGCAAGCAAGAAAACAAGAACTTCAATGGCTGATTGTTCCAAAGAGGATGTGCTAATAAGCCATGGGAGTGTTAGCCTGGTGGTTAGAGCAGTGCGCTTGTGCCCTGAGACACAAACGCAGCCCACTGCTCCCCTAGGGGATGGGTTAAATGCAGAGGTGAATTTCTCCAATGTGAGATCAATAAAGTTCAGTTATTATTATTCAAATGTACCATGTCATTGAAAGTCTATTAGTTCAAGCTGTCCTTATAACATTGAAATACCATTTAAAAATGCATTTCTGTTCCAGAGTGTAAAAGGTGTGAAATCATTCAAGACCCAGAAGAAAAGAGGGGGGCGTTTTGGTTTAAAAAGGCTGAAAGAAAAGCGCAAGGAGGAACTGGTGATAGAGGGGACACCCCCAAGGCTAGAGCCAGGGGAAGTTGATGTTGAGTTTTCACTTCCTAAAATAAAACAGAGGAAGAATACGAAGACTGATGTAGACGTCAGAGGAACAGGAAACATGGCAAAGACAAAAAGGAGGATAAGGTTAGTTAAAATATGTGTCAAATATTGTAATGCTAGAATGTGACAAATGATATTTTTCTGCTTTAAATACCTGAATTTCCTTTGTGTTAAACAAATTTGCAGGTTTCCCCATATGAAAGCCAAGGCGTACAGTGGAGCAGGGGGACAGCTTGAAGTTGAGGGACATGAGAATATCCCTCCATCGGAAATACCTGCGGCTAAAGTTAAAACCAAAGGAAAGGGCCACAAGTTTGGAATCATGTTTCCCAAGACTAAACACTCAAAGTCGGGTTTATCTTCTGAAAGTGGATCAGTTGAAGTGAGTCCTAAAGAAATAAACATCAAACCGAAATCAGTGGAGATCAGTTTGTCTGGTAAAGAACAAAACACTCTGGAGAAGAGAGGCTCAAAGTTTAGTCCCCCGGATGTGGAGTTTGTACTCCCCACGGGAAAAGCAGAAGCCTCTTTGGCCACCGTGAAAGGAACCACAGAGATCAAAGCTCCTAAAGTAGACATCAAAGGAGATGCTGATGTACCTCAAGGGAAAGTTAATATAGATGTAAGCAAGGAAGATTCAAAACTCAGAATGCCAAATATTAAACTTCCAAAAATGCAACTACCACGTCTTTCTGATGAGGTTGATGGTGAGAAAAAAATAAAAGAAATAAAAATACCTCAGGCTGATATAGATATGCCAAAAGCAAAAGTTGGATGTGGTGGAGAAATTAGTCTTCCTGATGTGGAGGTCACTAAACCAAAAATCAAGGGTGATATATCTGGAAAAGCTGCCTCAGCTCAAATACCCTCAGTTGATATTTCCATGCCAAATCTAAAGGGAAAGTCGGATGCAAGTTACTCACTTCAAGGGCTTGAAGGAGAAGGAAAGTCTGCAATAAAGATGCCTGCCATCAATATTTCTGTACCCGATGCTGGTCTGGAGTTTGATTCAAGACAAAGAATTCCAGATGAAGTTGTAGGCACTGTTAGAGTACCCCAAATCTCTGGGCCAAAGGTCGACATCGTACCAAAGATAAGAACTTCTGGGGTAGATATTAAGGGGTCAGAAGGTGGAGTAAAGGTCAGCCCACCTTCTGTTGATGCCTCTTTACCGAAAATGAAATCAGATTTTGTAGATGTGGATATGGACCATTTTGTGGGTGGTGGTGGAAAGTTCAAGCTGCCTGAGTTTGACGTAACTCCCCCTGAAAAGAAGTTACCAGAAGAAGGTGGGGGCTTTAAATTGCCCAAGGTAGATCTTACTCTTCCAAACCTAAATCCAGTAGTAACTGACCATGAGGGAAAGGATAAATTTCAGCTTCCATCTGTTGTCATTTCTCTTCCTCAGTTAAAGGCAGGTGAAGTGGAAGTCAACACTGAGCACAAAACAGTGAAAGGTGGAAAGTTTGAAATGCATGTAAAGCCAATCCCTGAGGGGAAAATAGAGGGAGACATAAATGCTAAAGGACATCTTGAGGGAGCCAATTTTAAAATGCCTTCAATAGATGTTTCTCTGCCTAATCTAAAACCAGAAGGCCAAGTTACAGTTCCAATGTTTGAGGTTGAAGGTGAAAGTCTTCTGCCTTCTGTAAATATATCTATGCCAAAAGGAAATGCAGAGGGAGGCTTTGAAATAGGAAGTCGAGATGTAAAAGGAATACAGCTCAAAGAAATCTCTCTTCCAGCATCAGCTGAACAAGGCAACATTGAGCTTGAGGGAAGTGGTTCCACCAAATTTAAGATGCCAAATTTTGACATTGTATTACCTAAGGGGAAAAACGAAGGGAGAGAAGAGGATACTGAAACTGCTGTCAAAGGAGGAGCAAAAATCCACATGCCATCTCTTGATATTTCTCCTCCTACACAAAAAACCCCTAAAGGGATGAAAGATATGAGCATTGAAGTTCCTGAAATTAACATCAAATTACCTAAAGCAAAGTTGGATTTGAAAGGAACTGATATCAAAGAAGACTCAAAGAAATTTCCTACAAAAGACATATCTCTTCCGAAAGACAGAATAGAAGCAAGTGTACATGTTGAAGAGAAAGGGAAGTTAAAAATGCCTTCATTTGATGTGTCCATTCCTAAGGTGAAGATGGCAGAGGAAAACATTGACATTGGAGGACAATCTGTTGACATCGTCCTTCCAAAAGGCAAATTAGATGTGGACAAAGGAGCTAAAAGTAAAGGACACTTTCATTTACCCTCAGTTGACCTTTCTCTCCCTAAAATACAATCAAAGCGAAATGATGTTAACATCAAAGTGCCGGAACTTGGAAGTGGAGAAGTAAAAGCCCCAACTGTCGACATCTCTCTGCCGAAAGGAACATTTGAAGGTGACATTGATTTTGAAAATGAAGCTAAAGGGGTTGGATTCAATGTGCCATCAGTAGATACTGACTCAAGTGCTGAAATTCCTAAAGGAGATGTGAACTTTCAAGGTCCAAAAGTCAAGCGTGACAAGTTTGAAATGCCTAGAATTGACATCTCATTCCCTAAAGGTAAAAAACATGGAGATATTGATATCGACATCAACTCTGGCATTGATGGGAAAATAGAAATACCTTCTTGTGATACTAAACTTCCTAAAGGCAAAGGCAAATCTGGTCTGACTGATAAGGATCTCGATGGAAAGTCAGGGAAACTCAGAATGCCTAAATTTAAAGTTTCTGTTCCTAAATTAGATGCACCAGAGGGTGACCTCAAATTGCATGGAACAGATGTTAAAGGAAAAGTTGAAATGCCAGCTGTCGATATTTCAACTCCGAAAGGAAAAGTAGAGGGAGATTTTGACATTGAAAACCATGCAGCTAAAGGAGCAAAATTTCATATGCCTTCATTAAACATTAACCTTCCAAAGATAAAATCTAAGGATGCAAAAATTAATGTTAAAAGCCATGAAGGTGAAGGACAAACATTTGAACTTTCATCAATGGATATTTCAGCACCAAAAATAAAATCTCCAGAGGCAGATGTCAGTCTCAAGGGTCCAGATTTGGACATTTCAGTTACAGGACCTAAAGATGATGTTGAAATTGTTAAAGACCCTGAAATTAAAGGAAGAAAGACAAAAGTACCTACATTTGACATTTCAATGCCAAGGGTAAACTTTCCTGAGGGTGAAGTCAAATTAAAGGGTGCAGACTTCAAGAGCAAGAAAATTGAGATGCCAGACATTGATATTTCACTGCCTAAAGGAAAATCGGACAGTGAAATTGATGGGCATGGCTGGAAAGGTGGAAAGTTTCAGATGCCTTCTGTTGATTTCTCTCTACCAAAAATAAAAGCAAAAGGACCAGAGGTCAACATAGAAGGTCCTGAAATTAAACAAGGAGACATTAACATGCCTGATATTGACCTCTCACTACCAGAAGGAAAGAATGATGAAGTAAAAGGAGAATTCAAAATGCCCAAATTTGATATTTCCTTTCCAAAAACAAACTTACCTGAGGGCCATGTTGATGAATCCAAGGTTAACATTTCTCTAACAAAACAAAAGGGAGATGTTGATGGCCACATTGGCAAGGAGGGGAACTTTCAACTGCCATCTATTGATGTTTCTCTGCCTAAAATAAAAGCAAACAAATCTAAAAGTGATTTTGAAGGTCCAGAACTAAAAAGTGACGTCACAATACCAAAAGGAAAAATTGAGGGTGATCCAAGTTTCAGAGGCCCTGGTGTAAAAGAAGAGTATAAATTACCAACATTAGAAGCCTCAATTTACAGAGGAAAAGCTGATGTTGACTTTGAAGTTGAAGACTCCGAGATTATATCTGGCATGGTTAAAATGCCAAAATTCGATGTCTCCTTGCCTAAAGTAAGTCTTCCTGAGGGCAATAGCAAAATAAATGAACCAAGCATCAATGTGGGGAAGATTGAGATGCCAGACATTGACATATCGATCCCAAAAGGAAAAACGAAAGGGGAAATTGAAACTAAAGGACATGCCAGTGAAGGGAGCAAGTTCCAAATACCTTCAGTTGACTTTTCTCTACCTAAAATCAAAGTTAACGTATCTGAACCCAGTGTTAAAAATCCTGATGTTCAAGGTGTAAAAATGAATATGCCTTCCCCTGATGCTTCAATGCCTAAATTTGAGTCTCCTGACTTAGAGGTCAGCCTTCACCGTCCAGATATGGATGTTGATCTTTCAACACCATCATTAAAAAAGGATGGTGATGTCAACATTGAAGAAATGGACATTAAAGGAAGAAAATTTAAGATGCCAAAATTTGATGTTTCTTTACCAAAGATGGGACTCCCAAAAGTTGATACAAACATAGGACCAGAGATGAAAGAAAAAACAAAAATTACAGCTGATTTTTCACTTCCCAAAGCTAAGGGACCAGAGATAAATGTTGAGGGTCATGAAACTACAGGTGGTGAAATACATTTGCCAACTTGTGATGTTTCTCTCCCCAAAACAAATCCTCTGAATATAGAGGCTACTCTTAAGGCCCCTGGTTTAAAAGGAGGAAAAATCAAAACACCTGCTGTGGATATTTCCCTTCCTGGAGGAACAACTGATGGTGACCTTAATGTTGAGGCCCCTGAGTTTAAGAGTGGGAAGTATAAAATGCCTAAATTTGATATCTCTTTACCAAAGGTTACTCTCCCAAAAGCTGATGTCCGTGTTGAAGGGCCAGATATAAAAGATGATATGGAAATGCCAACTGCTGAGATTTCACTGCCAGAATTCAAGACCGATTTAGAAATTGATGTAGGCAGTGGTAAAAGTAAGTTTCACATGCCCTCGATTGATATCTCTTTTCCTACAGTCAAAGTAAAGGAGGCTGATATTGATATGCAAGGACCGAAGATCAAGGGCGAAATGCCACTCTCTTCAGACATGGACATTACCATCAAGGGCCCTGAGCTTCAAGAAGACACGTTTGACCCACCAAACTTGGATGTTTCACTTCCTAAAGGTAAAGCTGATGGTGACACCAGTGCTGAAGTTAAGGGTGGGAAATTCAAGATGCCAAAATTTGATATTTCTCTCCCCAAAATTAATCTCTCAAAGGTTGAGGTCCGTGCTGAAGGACCAGATATGAAAGGAAAACTTGAGAAGCCAACCACTGACGTGTCATGCCAAAAGGCAAAGAAATCTGTAGATGTACATGTTGAAACTGGCAAGGGAGGCAAATTTCATATGCCCATGGTGGATTTTTCTCTTCCGAATGTTAAAGCAAAGGGAGGAGACATCAAGGGTGATTTGTCCCTATCTAACGTAAAATCTCCTGAGGTAGATGTCAGTCTTATCTCATACCCCAAAGATAAACCTGAGGGTGGTTGTGAGGTCGAGGGCCCTGAGGTGAGGGGGGGTAAATTGAAACAACCAGAAATTGAGTCAGAGAGTGATTTGAAGATAAAAGGCTCAGATTTAAAAACAAGAAAAATTGAGTTGCCAGACATTGATTTGTCACTTCCCAAAGTAAAAGTGGAAGGGGGTAGTGAAACTGAAGAATATTCTGTAAAGGGAGGCAAATTCCACATGCCAAACATTGACTTTTCTCTTCCTAAAATGAAAAAAAAGGAAACTGAGATCAATATTGAAGGTCCAGAATTTAAGGGTGGAAAACTTAATATACCTAAAACAAATTTTTCACTCCCCAACGAAAAGATTGATGCTGACCTAAGTGTCGAAGGGCCAGAAATAAAAGGAGGAAAGGGGACCATGCCCAAAGTTGATATTTCATTTCAGGAGTTAAGTCTACCTGAGGCTGGTCTTAAAGTTGAAGGGAGTGAATTTAAAGGAAAACCTGAAATCCCAGGTGCTGACATCTCAATTATTAAGGAAAAACTTAAGGGTGATATAGATATTGAGGGACAAAGTGGTAAAAAACCCAAATTTCAATTGCCCTCAGTAGATATCTCCTTCCCTAAAATAAAAACAAAAGAAGCTGATGTGGCTATTGAAGTACCTGAACCCGAAGTTGAAAATTCACTTCAGGGTGTACAATTGGAGGTTGATCTAAATGTTAAACAACCTAAAGTTAAGGAAAGTAAACCTAAAATGGCCAAAGTCAATCTTCCAGAGGGTGAATTCAAAATGAAAGGACCTAAAGTCAAGGGAGGCAACTCTGAGATCCTAGATATGAATATATCCCTCCCCAGAGGAAAAATAGGGGAAGAACATGAAATTGGTTTGCCCTCCAGCAAAGAAGGCAAGTTTAAAATGCCTTCAGTTGACATTAATCATCTTAAAATAAAAGTTAAGGGACCAGATTTAAATGTAGAGAGTCCTGACATTGAAGGAGGAAAGATCAATATGCCTGATGGTGATGTTTGCCTCTCCAAAGGAAAGATTGAATCTGAATTTGATGTTGAAACTTCTGAGATTAAGGGTGGGAAGTTTAAATTACCTAAATTTGACATCTCTTTACCAAAAGCAAGTTTCCCAAAGACTGATGCGAGTGTCGAAGGGCCAGATGTAAAAGCACAAGTAGAAATACCAGAGGCTGACATTTCACTTCCAGAAGCAAAGACTAATGTGGAAATTGATGTTAACACTGGTACAAGCAGCAAGTTTCACATGCCCTCGGTTTATATTGCTCTCCCTAAAGTCAAAGCAAAGGGAGATATTGATATACAACAACCTAAAATCAAGGGGGATTTTTCACATCCTAAAGCCGAGTTACCAGAGGTGGATGTCAGCCTCAATAGCCCAGAGGTTGGAGGAAAAATTAATCTGCCAACTGTTGATATTTCACCTTCCAAAGGAAGGGTTGATGGTGGCTTGGAGTTTGAGGGTGTTGAGGGTAAGTTAAAAAAGCCAAATATTGACATGACTTTACCAAAAGTGACTCTTCCAGAAGGTAATCTTAAAATTCAAGGCCCAAAAATCAAGGCAGGAACCATTGAAATGCCAGATCTTGATATATCAATTCCAAACCCAAAAGCTGAGGGAAAATTTGACACTGAAGGGCATGTAAAAAAAGGAGGCAAGTTTCATTTACCTTTTATACATCTTCCTGACATGAAAGCAAAGGAGCCACAAGCCAACATAAAATGTCCTGAGGCTGATGTTGACATTAAGGCTCCAGATACAAAAGGAGGAAAAGGTGGAAGGTTTCACATGCCAACTCTTGATGTAAACATGCCAAAATTTGACCTAGACCTAAGCTTGCCATCTGTTTCAAAACCTAGTGGCCCTAAAGGTGAGGTCAGTGGACCTGATACATCTGCAGATTTGGAGATGTTGAATCTCAAAGGTGATCTCAAACCAGAGCAAATGAGAGTAAAGACTTTAGATGTTGAAGGTTCGGCTGCATCAGTAAAACTTCCTTCAGTTAAACTGCCAACTGTTGACATCTCAGCCCCAAAAGTTGATCTAGACTTTGGCCTCAACAAACCTAAGGGTGATGATGTAAAAGTAGAGCTTTTGAAAGCAGAGGGAGGGCGACCTTCTTCAGGGGGCAGCTTCGATATACCAGATGTCTCTCTCAAAGTGCCAAGTTTCACTTTACCCAGATTTGGTGCAAAGTCAAATAGTAGTAATTTGGAGGTATCGGGACAGAAAGATGTTTCCCTCCATCAGCCGAATGTTGAAGGTGAGATTAGGGCACCATCAGTAGAATTTGACAGAGATGGAAAAGTCAAAGTAAAGAAACCCAAAATAAAAATGCCTTCATTTGGAATATCGAAAAAGGATACGGATGTATCTGTGTCTTGTCCTGATGTTGATGTTAAAGTACAAAAAGGAAAACCAGAATTACCCCACCACGATTTCAGGACTGAGGGCCCAGACCATAAAGTAAAGCATAAACTTAAGTTTCCCAAGTTCAAAATGTCATCACCAAAGGTTCAACTTTCAGAGGGAGAGGTGGAAGCGGAAGTGGGTAGAAAGAATGGCTTTTATGGACCTGATGTCACTCTTCAATTGCCAAAGTTCTCAATGCCAGGATTTGGGTCCAAAGAGAGAAATCTAGATAAACCAAGTGGTGAACTTCAAACCCAGCCCAAAGTCAAGATGCCTTCTGTTGAGCTATCACTCCCAGAAGCTAAAACACAAGAAATGGAAGTTCTTCTCCCTAAAGCAGAGGTTGATGTTTCAGAAGCAGATATCGAAGGTTATGAGGGAAATCTTAAAATTCCTAAAATGGATGTTACAATCCCCAAAGTAGACCTAGATGTATCGCTGCCAAAAGGCAAATCTTCAAAGAATGACGGACTTGATGTGGAACTTAAAGGAGATGAAGGGAAATTCAAAATGCCTCAAATAACTATGCCATCTTTGAATGTCACTCTTCCAAAAGGAAAACTTAAAAGTCCCAGTAATCCTAAAACTGAAATGGGGGATAATGGAGGCCAGTTTACACTACCCTATGTCAAAATGCCCAATATTGATATAACTGTACCAAAAGCTGATATTTCACTTCCAAAAGTAAAACCAGAGATCTCTGAAACCAATATGAAGGGGAACACGGAGCAGAAGTCTAAAATGCCCAAGGTTGACATCTCTCTTCCCAAGAGTAAGCTCCAAAACGATGAGGCACAGGAAAAAAATGAAGAAACAGGTAAAATCAAAATGCCTCACATAAAGATGCCACACGTTGATATCTCTCTTCCCAAGGTTAAAACTGAAAGTCAAGATGTAGAGATCAGAGGTGAAGAGGGAAAACTCGAAATGCCACAAGTCAACATTCCTTCTGTCGATCTTTCACTTCCTAAAGCAAAAGCTAAAGGTCCAAATGTTCAGGTAGTGGGCAGTTCTGAGCAAACCTTCAAGTTACCTTATAGTAAAATGCCAGATATTGATGTTTCTCTGCACAAGGGACAGCTTAAAGGTCCAAATGTAGAGATTGAGGGAGAAAAGGGAACTTTTAAGATGCCACATATTAGTATGCCATCCCTTGAAATATCCCTACCAAAAAGAAAGGTTGAAAGCATAGATATTGAGGCCAGTGGAGGAGAGGTCAAAACACCAAATGTAAAAATGCCTTCAGCTGACATATCAGGCATTAAAGGGGAGATTGAGGATCAAGATACTGAAATTACAGGAAATGTTGGAGGAAAATTGAAAAGGTCTCCTCTAAAAATGCCACATGTGGAATTTTCTGAACCAAAAGGGAAAGGAGTTCCAGATGTTGGGATTAGTATGCCTTCAGTTGATCTATCATTGCCCAAAGGAGAATTCAAGAGTCCTGGGGCTGGGATAGGAGGTACTGAAGGCAAAATAAATATGCCTCATCTAAAAATGCCAAATGTTGACATCTCCCTACCCAAAGGTAATTCTGGCAAAAGTGAGGGGACAGAGTTTAAAGCAGAGGGACACATACCAGAAGTACCCACGGGAGACATTTCTCTGCAAAAATGTGAAACTACAGGTCCCATCTCTGGCACTAAGAATGGAGGAGGAAAGTTCAAAATGCCAAAAGTTGATATATCTCTTCCAAAAGGAAAACTTTCAGTGGAAGGTCCTGAGGTGGACATACAAAAAGGACAAGTCAACATGCCAAAAGCAAGTGCGGACAAACCTAGTGGTAAAAAGGAGGCAGAGGAAGGAACAATCAAACTTCCACATATCAAGATGCCTAAGGTGGATCTTTCTTTTTCTAAAAGTAAGGGTACTGAAGTCCCAACTATGGAGACGGAAGTTAAAGGCCGAGATGCTGAACTTCCAAAAGAAAAAATGTCACTGCAAAACGATAACTTAACCAAAGAGGCAAAGCCTGATCTGAAGGCTGATTTGCATGTTGAAGGCGAGCAAAAAGGTCTAAAGCTGAACTTGCCAACAACTGATATTAAAAGTTCAAAAGAAGAAGCAGAAGTAAACATAGGACTTCAAAGAGTTGAGGGTAAGACAGACAAGAAAAAAATAATATCACCAGATTTGGATCTAAACGCATCAGGAAGTCAGAGTAAAAATAATGGGGGCAAGGTCAAAGGTCCAAAATTCAAGATTGGGATGCCAAAAATGAAAGGTGACAAAGATGTAAAGTTAGAAAAAGAACAATGTAAGGATGATGTCGAACAGAATAGCCATAAAACTGACAATGGTCAAATCAACATCACAGCTCCGGAGGTAGTGTTACCAAGCATTAGTTTCAAAACAGACTCTGACAGCAAAGGAGGCCCTTCCTCTTCTAGTAAAGAAATCAAAGTCCCTAGAATACCAGATATAGAGTTTGATATTGGGACATCACAAGATGAAGATGATGAAACAGAAATGGAGAAGAAAGTAAAAATCCCCAAATTTGGTGTCCCATTACCCTCAATCTCATCTCCTGAAAGACATATGGATTTCTATGGATCAGAAATTTTCTATGATGGCCCCAAAAAACCCAAAGTAAAGAAAGCTGTTTTTGTCATGGTGAATCCAAATGAAACGGAGAAGGTAGCTGCAAACATCTCCTTTCCAAAAAAGGAGACGGCAGCTGAAAATGATACAGAAGATGTCACAATGAAGATAACCAAAACCAAAACGAAGCCTAACTCTGGGAAGTCTAAAGAGAAATCATCTGAAAGAGAAGCAGAAGAAGAGGAAAAGTTAAAGGGGGCGAAAATTAAAATGCCAAAATTTTCATTTTCTTCAGGTAAATCAGGGTCTGCTGATGTCCCTACGAAAGGAGATGGTTCAAGCTCAAGTCTCAATGGAGAAAAAGATGCAAGTCCTTATAAGGACTCCAAGGATGATAAAGGAGCATTTGGGGGTAAAATCAAACTTCCAAAGGTGGTGTTTACTAGTCCTTACAGCAAGATGACAACAGGGGATAAAATAGAAAAAGATTTATCGTCAGAAGTGGTAAAGGGAGACATCAACACATTTGAAACTACATCTAAAATGTCCTCAAAGGAAGTGGTGTCATCTCATGCCAGAACAGAGATGTTGGACAGGGACAGTTCAGAGTCTCCTGTTGTTCTTGGCGCAGAGTCCACCTCAACAAATGTTCAGATGTGGAGTGAAGTGGAGGCAGAGGAAAAGGAATCCACCAGCTGGTTCAAGATCCCAAAGTTCACACTGAAGCCACATGCAACAGGTAAGGACAAAAACGTATTTAACCAAGACTGTCAAAGTCTCAATATTTCTACTGAGTGGATACTAAATCATATATAAGTGCATATATATGTATAACATCTCTGTTCCTGATTTTTCTCTCATCAAAGACAAAGTTTCCTTTCAGTTCTAAGTTCTTCACCTATCCTTCCCACTTTTCCTTCTTTCCTCTCTATATCCTATCTGCCACTGTTTCCTGTGCTGCAGGCTTCCTCCAGATAACCCCAGAGGGCTCCCCTAAAGCCCAGCACAGGGGTGAGCTGGGAGGGGAGGCTGAAGTCTCTGGGTTGTTTTCCCTCCACACCTTGGAGTTTGACTACACCAGTCAGCCCATGTCTGAAGAGCACAACGTTTCCTCCACAGTGGAGGAGACTGTCACAACAGTAACCAAGACAACAAGAATCACTAACCTGGTTACCACTGAGACGAGAGCCTGCGAAGCTTCAACTACTCAACAAGTGTCTGATTTTAAATACTGAGATTGCTGTACTAATATCTTAAATACCTTTTGATTATTTAGTTGTTGTGAAGCTGTTTTTTAGGCTGACGAGATTGCTGTGTTCTTTTAATGTGGAAAAATAAAAGTTTATATTTTATATATTTTAGGTTAGACATGATTGTGACTGACTGCAAGGACTTTATATCAACCAGTATTGATGTCAGTATTACAGCTGAAGAGTTTAAGTGGGGTTTTTTTTCTTTAATATTTTACTATTTTTGTTGATTATTAAGCTTTGTCAGGTTAGTTCTAACTATTTATCCAGTTATGTCAAGCACAATCTAAATATATACAGGTTGTGTTATCCTTGTATTTTTGGTTGTGTATTAGAAGTGCAAAGATATTCACAATTTACATCTAAAAAATCAATCTGAGTTTTTATGAAGAGGTCAAAAGAAATTAGTGCAGAGCAACAAATACAGACTGGGGTATGTTTATGTAAATATCTCTGTAGTATAGCTTTTTTTTTTAACTATGTCGCTTTAAAGCTAAATGTTATTTTAATATTCATAAAAGTTTTTTTTTATCCAAATATCTGGTTTGTTCTGTTTGAGGTAAAAGTTTTAAATTTTACTGATGATAGCCAGTTTGTTTCTAAACTAGACGATAAGTGAAGGCATTTAGTTGGTGCTATGTCCCAGCGTTTATCAATATGTGTAAGCAGAACGTTCTGGACTCTTTCTACTGTAGGGATCAAACCTGCAACCTTTCGGTTGCATGTTGCTCTCAAACATTTAGGCCAACCTGCTGCTAGTCTATATTTTTTCACTGTGGATTTACTGGGAATTGCACTCATTTCTCAGAAATCTAGATTCAAAACTGTTATGGTGGGGCATTTTTTTTTTCTTCTTTACAAATATTTTAAACTAAGTATGGGAATTTAAGGGATTTGATTTAAAGATTAAAACAAGATCATAGAAAAGGTTCTAAATCTTAAATCTTTTGCCAAAATGTTTGTTTCTTTTTTTTTTTTTTTTTTTTTTGGCACGATGAAAAGGAGGAGCCAAAGTGTAGCAAAATGTGTAAATAAAACCAATGAGGTTAAGGCACTATTTGCTTTAATTCAATTTACATTTCTTATTTAATGCTGTCCTACATTAATTTATATGCAATAAGCAAAGCAAAACCTTAAACTTACTTTTGAAAAGTGCCTGCAGTTAAATCAATACATTCACCTAAAATAAAAGTTTTTGTTGTAGCTTTCAGATCAGTTTGATCACTAAAATAAGGAAATGGTGCATACAATTTAGGGAAAAAAAGGATATTCAAAATAGGCTTAGCAAAATATGTAAGTGAAAGTAAACTATTTGAGAACACATATTTTTGATTTGTTTAAGAAATGGAATGAAGCGGCTTTTAAAATGTTGATGGAGTTTTGCAGGTGGAAATCTGTTTTTTAATATAAGGGAAGGTCTGCTGTATGTGGAAAGATGTTTTTACTTTTCTGGATGGATTATGTGATCATATTTATTTGGATTTTAAGGTTGTCAGAACAAAGTGTTGTGCAAGAACTACATTGGACATAGTGCTACAGCAATAAAATAGTATTCACTAGAGTTGGTTGTTTTCTGACATTTTTTGCTATCCTTGTATTTTTACATCTTTTCTCCTGCACAAATGAAGACAGTTTTTTAGTTAAGCTTCTATGATTACTTAGTATATCCAATTTGTGGATTTAGGCTTGATCAAACATTTTATATATATATATATACGGATTTTCTCGGATTTTTCTCAAGCATTTTACATGCAGCACATGGTTTATACAAATTGATTTATATAAGGATAAATTGATTTATATATAGGAAGATTTTTTTTTTTATGTTTCAAAACTGAGATCAATACTAAAATCGGAAAAAGTAAGAAGGTCGAGTACTTTTGAAACCCTCCTTTAAAATTTGCCAGTAAATCTTAAATAGAGGAAAATGTAATTTATTTTAAAAATTTTCCTAATTTTAAACCTTCCTCTTTTATCTCAGTATTCCCACATTTAGATCTTTTTAATGACATGACAAATTTGTATTTGAGTTTTTCCAATTCATTCATTAACCAAACTTAATAGAGCTGCTAACTTTAAACGACATGAGAAACCTCAGATGATCATTTCTGAGCTCGGCAGACTTCCGACAAAATAAGTCAAATTGGGGCGCACTTTGAATGGAGTCCAAGGTAACGCCTCAATCTCTCCTTGTGTGAAACCATTGGCATCTCAAAACAAATCTGCAAATATGTCAGGAAGAGAATTGTTGACTTCCATAAGTCTGGATCATCCTCAGGTAAAATTTCCAGATATAAAAAAATATCCTCAAGTATAAAACATACTTGGCAGGACTTTGTCTCCCAAGATTTTGTTCCAACATGCTTTAATCAACCCAGGAAAAAAAAGTGAAAGACCTTTTGAAAATAGTGCAGAAGCTTCCTGAATTGGAAGTTTGGTGCTAGTGGAACCATGCTATGAAATGCTTTGCTGAAGGAGGGACGGCTTCACTCCACAATAAACCAAAAGGAGGGAAAAAAACATGATTTAAAAAGATCTATAAGAAAAATATTATGCTTTAATCAAAATCTTACGCCTCTGAAAAATGGGGCAGAGCTAGAGGGGGGCATGGTCATGGCCTAGCTAATCTATGGCCACTCCTACCAGGGGATTGTTCCCATGTGGATGTAATTCACCACTAATGGAACAAGCAGTTCTTCTCTGAATCAGAGACCAGCAGCAATGATAACGTTGATCTATTAATCAATAAACTGACAACAAAAATACAGGAATGTATTATTCACTACGATATACTGCAATTTAAGATGACTAAAACAGAATTCCTGTTCTTTTAAGAATCAGTCCTTTATGTTTTCATTGAGGAGAGTTTTTGTCTCTGCACTCATTTAGTCTTCTATATATCAAAACAGTTGCTCATCCAATTTAACGTAGACCTCTAAATTACTAATGTAGAAAACAGATGTCAACATTAATGAAGCAGGAGTTCAGGAAAATCTGATCTGTGTGCTGTGATGTATTTGGAAGCTATAGATTGTGTGACTGTTGATTATGCTGTTGGGATAGTTTACTGTGGGAACTGGTTCCTGCTCCTATAAGTTTTCTGGCCACCCAGAAAACTAATAGTTGAGAGGGTACATTGGTCCCTGCCACCATTTCTGAAAGGTACGTTCATTTCCACGCATTCAATAAATATTTGTGGCTCGTTTGTTATGAATTACTGCATCACTGCAGGGCTGCCTCGACATGTCCTGAATTTGAAGAAAGACAAAAAAAAAGAAAGAAATCTCTCATTCAACCATTTATTAAAGTGAATAATTGGTAATCTGGGAATAACTAATTATTTCATGTTGTTCAATGAGAGTAAGAAAATTATTAAATAATTTTTACAGTGTATGTGAATATCTACATTTCTATTTCTATACAGAATCACACTCATTGCCATAAATTCAGAGAAATGTGTCTAAAATGCATTATGGAAAGATACACATGGGTGAATGACGTTTTCTGGTGGTGAGTGTGTTTTGCAGCTTTTCTTGGTCGATGACGCAGTGGAAACGTAGTTTCTCAGTGTTAGGTTTAAACACCAAACACCTTATTCAGCAACCTGCACAAAGAATGACACAGATAATTGAGTATATCTTACTTGCAAGGAGAGGGGATCAGAAACTGCATTCAGTTACAACTTCAAACCCACTCTGAAGCAGTATCTGCTCTCCAAGCCCTTTATTGAAAAAACGCCCTGATTACAATGTGGTTTCAACCGCTAAAGGGGGAGGGAACAGAACCCAGTTGAAACCAGAATTTTCGTACAACATCATACAACATCATAGGATAAGGATAACCCCTCTCCTTATCTAGTTGCACAGTTCTCCATGCTCCTCCGCACCCTTAACGACATCTGATAACAGCAGTCAGCATCCCTCCTGTACAGACTTAAAAAACATTAATGACACAGCAAACAAAACTAAATGTTTTAACACTCTTTGTAATATGAGTAAGATAGAGATAACAAAATGTGTAAGTATAATATGATTAAAGTAATATGATTAAAGTAGAATAACTTATGTACAATTAATTAACCCAACATTTCCCTCCTGTTTATTCACTTTAAGCTATTTATTTTATCATTCAATAGTTACTTCTTTTCAGATTTTCAACTAAGAAATCATTCTCTTTTTTTTTAGCTGTAAAGGGTACACTCAGAGGTACTTTAAACTGGTGGGTTATTGTAGTTGGGATTAGGATAAAAGTCAGGAAAGTGTAAAGAGAATTCATCCTCTTCGCTGTCTTCATCATCCGATGGGTGTTCCTCAGTGGACATAAGGGCATACATTTCTGTTTTCATGGGTTGTATTGCAGTGGTAATTAGTCTATTTAGCAGCGCTCTAATACATGGAATACAACAACATCCACATAAGGTCAGGATGGCGGCAAATACAGCTACAGACATCAAAATAGAAAGTACCAGTTGTTTGTATTTACCAAAAATGTCTCCAGATCCATCCCACATTTTTGTGTCAACTCCAGAATGGTCTTTCATTTTGCTGTTAAGAGAGCGAAGGCCTTCAAGGGCCTTTGTGAGGCTGCCATCTGCAGCGGTGTTGTTGGGAATAAAGGTGCAACACTGATCTCCAGAAATAGAGCACACACCACCTTTTTCAGCTAACAACATGTCAACAGCAATACGGTTCTGGAAAGCCATCAGAGAGGTAGCTGACAATTGTTCATGGACGGCGGAGAAGCCTTGTTCTGTTCTATTTCCCAGCCTCTGGACGTTATAATGGATGTAGTTGATCCTGTCTACATTTTTATTTATAGTATACCACCAGCATAAGAAAGATTCAAATCCTGCAAAAACTTGATTCACTAGTTTATACTAATCTGGAACACCTCTGGGTACTCCAATACTGTCAATATAAGTAGGGTCATTAGACACTGTTTTAGCTGCTTGTTCTGCCATTAAAAGCCAGTTGTTTGTTTGCCCAGAGATTCCAGTGGTGACTTGAAACAATTCATCCGTTTTAAGCGGGTCATTAATATTTTGAATTTTTATCTGTTCACCTTGGGCAGAAGTAAGAATCCCTTGTATCTCATTTTCTTCTTGTGTAACATTTGCAGAGCACAGATACAATGTCCAACATGGATCGGTTTCACTAGACCGTGCACATATAAATGAGGAAGAACAGCCTTCCTTCTCAAGAGGTTCTGCTGTGGAGTTTATTGTCATAGTGAAAACTTTGGAGGCATGGTTAACAGTGAACCCTGATATTCTACTCATCCATTTCTTAGCTAAAGATGTCCATCCATATGATCCTTTTTTCCACTGTCCAGTGGTTCTGAAAACGTCTCCCCAACTCTTTTGAGTTCTTTGAACTACACGGGGATATAGGTAGAAATCATAACCTCGCCAATCTCCCGGGTCAATTTTAAATCTTTGCGAGAATGTTTGAAAAGGAATAGTCACCAAACTGATTACTCTAGTAGAGTTATAGCAGAGATAGACGTCCCTTTTACAAATGGGGGCAACAAGAATCCTTGCCCTGAGTGAGAGCTAAAGACAAAATTAATATGAAAAGTTGCAACATTATCTAGGTTCAAACTTCAAAAAGTTTCCTATGGGTAATCTTTTACACAGTGGTTTACTTCCTATGACCTCTCGGCAGAGTTGTTGAACCTTCACCAGTTTGAGATGGTTGTATGCTAAAAAATACAACCCCCTTTGTACGATGGACTTCCTCTGAAGGTCGGTGAAGGAGACCAAATGCGTATTCTATAACAGGTACCACAGTAGAATTACTAGAGTGCTAAGCAGTACGGTAAGGTTCCACAGAATAATTAAGAAAGTGATTTTACACATTACTCATCTGATCTATCTATCACTTTCTTGCAGTGTGACAAGTGGATCCATGTGCTTCTTTCAGCTATTTTTAATGCAGTTGGAGTGGTCAACAAAACCTGATAGGGTCCTTCCCACTTAGGTGAATACCAATGTTTCCTCTTTATGCTCTTTATGAGGACCCAATCACCTGGTTCAACTAATTGGTTTTCCTGTGGAGACACAGAGGGTGGGACACTGTCAGTTTGGTTCAGCTGTTGCTTTTGTTGCTCCAGCATCTTTCTCATGTAGTCTGCTAGAGTACTTTCATCATCTGTTTCCCAGCTATTATTAAAATAGGGAAGTCTATATGGTCTGCCAAATATTGTTTCATAAGGGGTCAACCCGGTCGTACTTGTAATATTTATGTGTAGTTTAACTAAGTCCAAACATTGAGTCCATGATCTTCCCGTTTCTTCCATACATTTCCTAAGTCGGTTTTTAACGAATCCGTTCGTTCTTTCCACAAGGCCTGCGCTTTGTGGATGGTAAGCACAGTGGTTTTTCAAGTCTATGTGAAAGGCTTGTCCTATTTTGGTTATTATCTGATTTACAAAATGCGTGCCATTATCACTATAAATTTTCTCTGGAATCCCATAACGGGGAATTATGTCTTTGCATAATGCTTTTGCAACTGTTAGTGCATCTGGATGTTTTGTAGGAAACAGTTCTACCCATTTAGAAAA